GGGGGGGGGGGGGGGGGGGGGGGGGGGGGGGGGGGCTCAGCAGGAGGTCCCAGAGGATGATCATACAGAAACTCTTTCAATTTCTGAGCTTTAAGCAGAAATCCTAAGCCAAGTACATACCAGATATGCCAATACTCCAGAACAGAAGTATAGAGGGCGGTAAGAATCCCCAGACGACGTTCTTGCCTAACCCAAAATATCAAGGATGCATCAGTTGCATCCTTGACAACGAGAACAAATCCCATGATTCATTGCATCCCGAGTTCATTCTTGGGAGGCAAGTTAGCAAGAACACCCTTGCAGAGAACACAAGTACGATCTTGGTGCTCTTGATAATGAGAAACACCCCCCCCCCCCCAACTACCTCCAAGTTCATCACAGCAAGTTATGATGGTATAACAAGGACGTGTGCTCCCAAGAGTAATGAGATCCAATGCTTGTTTATTTTCGAATCATGAGTGACCTTAAGTCTGTTAGATTAAGGGAAATTCAGAAAAGCAGGCCCATAACCTCCAACAGCATAATTATTGATGGGCTGCAAGTGGGATTGTCAACGTGCGGAGTTCATGGATGGCACAACGTTTCTTTCGAATCAGTCTATTCAGTCAGAAATTCCCATCACATATCAGCTCTCAGAATATGGCAGAATTCACACTTCTGTGTTGAATCATAAAGGGATTTTCTATCCTCTTGGGCCTTAGAGCCATTTTGTCCGCAGGCACGAAACCCAAAAAAAGACATCAATAATTTACCGAGGCAGAGTAACCTTTCATTTTCTATGTATGATATGCAAATTACAGCACTTCAAAAAACAAAGGGAGGACAAACACAGGCAATAAAAATACCCTCCGGGGATTCCAAATGGCATCGTAAACAATAATGCACGAAAACCGCTTCTTTCCGCAAGTCTACAATGACGTAATGGTAAAAACTACAAGCTCATCCTGGCTAGTCTCTTCTTTCCGGCACCGCATGCCATATCATGCTAGAGAGACTGAGCTTCGGGGCAGAGTGAACGGGGGCGTGTTCACGTCGGTGCTGTCTCACCGTGATGGATGAGGCCATTCTCCAGCAAGGCCTGGCCCAAGTTCACGCCCTCCTCTGCTTTGCTGATCTCGCCGTTCTCCAGCAGCCAGGACACAAACTCACTGCGGGGCATCAGAGAAGAGAGGTCAAGGCGGTAAGTGTCTAAGAAAGAGACTCCTTGTGCCAGTCTTTTCCCCTGATAGTCTGTCAGACTCCTCAGCGCCCTGCAGCTCAGCACCTGATCAGGGACAGGGACAGGGACAGGGACAGGGACAGGGACGGGGACTGAACCCCTTGCCCCCCCCCCTCCCCACACACAAACCTGTCCACCCGCCCGCCCTATCCTCACTCCTCTACTTCCTCCCACCGCAAATACCTCATCCCAAACTCACTGCACATGGTCACGTTTAAACAAAAACCATTCTGCATCAGGAATGAGAACTCGCACTGCACCGCCTACAATTCCTATTCAGTTCATGTCAAGTTGCAGCGCTGCCGTGTCTTGTCTTTGCACTTCACGTCGTGTAGTACGTATCTGAAGTTTGTCTAGTCAGTGTGTAAATGTTAGCGTTTCGGAGTATATTGTTTAGTAGATGTGTAAATGTAGCACCATGGGGCTCAGGAAGGGGAAAAAAGACGTTCAGTCATCTAGACGGGGGGCAGTGGAGAGCCTTTCAGCTTCTCCAGAGCTCTAACGTCACTGGTGGCTTCACATAGCTTAATGCTTAATGGTCATAGGCAGCATGCATGTGTAACAAGTACAGTGCCAGTGAAAAGTTTGGACACACCATGCCGCCTACAAAGGAGAGTGATAGAGTGTCACATCACATGACCTGGCCACCTGATCTAAATACATCCATTGCCACTTAGGATTGCCACTTAACATTTATTTTTTTTACTTTTTAAAACTTGGCACGTTTTACAGAATTCGATTTATTTCACATGTTATACAACATCACCGAGTATGAAAAATAATAACACAATCAACAACTTTAATCAGTTTTTCCCTTAATAAAACAAATGAAGGTGTTCGCCAAATAAACTAATTAAGGAGCAAAATGAGCTCTGTCTCCCTTTGCATCTCGTTCGTTAGTAGATACGCAGATGCCAGTTAAGTTAGCGCTACAGCAGGAGAGAGTGCCCTCTGATTACCACAAGACTTCGTTTCCGCTCTTAATGCTGTAAACGCCTCCGTTTTGTCGCCTCAGATGGGAATGCCAGTTTCTCGAACCCGTGTCCATGGGGCATGTACTGTTGCACATGGCAGTGCATGGTGATGCCAAGTGACATGCCACCGGAGAGAGGTATACCGTTAACGTGACAGGGAGCATGCAGAGTATTGCACAATTTCTCGTACTTCACGCATCAAACGAAGAAGGCATGGCAATGAATGATGCATCACTGGGGGCTCTGTACCAGAACCCCCCCCCCACCCCCAAGCTCTCTCGCTACTGAACTGTGCCTCCCTGTGCTCCACAGCAAATTAAAAACCACCACAAGTTTGTGCCCCATGGGACTACAGGCGAGTCTCTTAACAAACACCATTTCTGGGCCAAGAATGCGAGACTCGAGAGCTTAGACAAACTGAGGGGCGGAAGGAGTGATTTCTCTCTACTTTTTTCCCCCCCTTCAATGCTTTTCCCTCTCTTCTGAGTCTGGACATCGGTCAAATGCTTGGATGAGAAAGTCCCCACATTCCCGATTCCAAGTTCATGACTTTGGCCGTTTTCTCAGTCCTGTCACTGCTAAACCAAACAAATTCCCTAGACCTCAGCGAGGTCTGCGGAAACGCAGCTGGAATGAGTGCGAACTGATATCATTGTTTGTGTGTGTGTGTGTGTGTGTGTGTGTGTGTGTGTGTGTGTGTGTGTGTGTGTACGCATGCAAATATACCTATCTGAATAAATATGGGTCCATGTATCTATTTAAATTCTTTTTATTTGTCTTTTTTGCTGACTATAGATGTGCCCTGATAATTAAAAAAAATTATGTGATTTACAAAGATGTGCATCTCAGCCAAACTGGGGCAATGCAGAAAGAGGGAAGGTTAGGCTCGATAACAGCCAGAGGCATTAGAGGATCTATGCAGCTTCCAAAGGCACGATCAACACTAATCTAAGCTAAAGGAGCCAATCAGCTTTCAGCTGAGGCCATGCGCCCTTACGGTGCCGCCCCTGTAAACACCCCCGGCAATTTCAAACAAATGGTCTATCTATGTGAATCACTGCAGATCGCTCCAGAAAGGCCAGGGGCAAGATCAGTAGACCCAACCGAGGGAGGAGAATAAACATTGTGTGCCGGTGTGTTCCTCTTATACCCTCACATGAATCTTTCACACCGTGTGTTTTTATCCCAGCTAGTGTATTGGGGAAGGTTAGGCCTACTTCTGCATTCTCATCTGGCCTCAGAGAAAACGGCCAAAGAAAGAAAAAAACCAGGCATGAAAATCATCTCTGACCGTTATAGCTCAGATATTTGTAAGCATTACAATTCTGCTGTACTCCGGAAGGCTCTGTGACAGCAGGCCCATATGGCTTTTATCAGCGTGCAAAGGTTCAAAAATACCAAGTTCCAGGCTATTTTAGTCACATCTTGGATATCTATTATAGGCACGAACTGGAGAAAAATATGTCAGATGTTCCAGCAACTTGTGAAACGGCCACTGCAGAATACTTCATGCCACATCATGGGCCCGGGAAAATCTATCAGTAAGATCTGGAAAACATCTTTATCACAGAGCAGAAGCACAAAGCTCCCAAATCGAATGCAGCACGTTCTTCCATCCCCATGTAGATGTTTAAGGCCACGCTTCTGCGATAAAACACCCATGAACCAAACTGTAGATGGAGACGAGCCGGAGGCATCACGCTGAAGCGTTACCCAGCTGAGGTACAGAACGTGGCCACGTAAATAGAGAAGATCTAATGCTAAAGCCTGCTCGTTCAATCAAGGCGTTCAGTGAAAGGGAGGAGGCCGCAGATTCCTCACGTCTGGTTCTCTCACAGAGACCTGGCTATTATCGCTATTAGCCAAGCAGCGGTGAAAGATAGAGTGCTCATGAGTAGGTGGGCTAGGGCAGTGGAACAGCGGTTCCTAACCTCGGGCTTCCTGTGCAGCTCTAACCAGCACTGTACCTCATCACGGGGTGGTCAAAGGTCACGCCATCTCAGAACCTCAAGCAGCAGAACAGTCTGATGTGCATGGCTGTGTGTGCGCTGTGCTCTCTGCGCCTCAGCACCTGTGCATCCTTGCTTGTGTCATTGCCACATTGCTAACCTCGCATAACACCACCACCCATATAATATAAGCTCACAATCAGATGAGTAAATGTGACCCATCTGCGTCTTTTGGAGACTTAAGTGTCATTTCTAATAAATAAAATGAATGCAGAATGGCAATATTACTTAGTTCTTGCTTCAGACTCTCTATGAAACAAATTTGCGCGCTAAACTGTTTATCCGTACCGAGTTGAGAGGAGTGCCCCACTCCCTCTCGGGACTGTGGCAGGCATGCTCACTTTGAGCCAATGAGTAACGGAAAATGCATTTTCGCCCTAATAAACAGAGCCCTTGTTCATTCACTGCTGGGAGAGCCCAAGCTGGGGGGGGGTGGGGGGTAGGGGGCTCCCCATCACGTCACAGAGCGGCCTGTCCCACGGCAAGCATGGTGCGCCCTCTAGCACTGACCTGGGTTCAGTGCCTGCTATGCAACACTAAGCATCTGGGGTAAACAAAGTGGCTTGGGAGGCTCCACCGGTTCAGATCTACAACACTGTTTAACGGTGAGGACCACTGCATACTACCTAGGGGCCTTCAGATGCTGCTCAGATCCCACCCACAGCCTATATGGGGAAATGCAGGAGAGGCGTGACTTGGGGTCTAATTATTGCCCTGGTTGGCCTCCAAAAACCATATTTAAAGCTCAAAATATTAAAGTGCAAATCATCTCCAGGGTGACGGATTTTACAAAGCAAATGATCTGGAGACCATGAATCCAGGGACAGCTGAGAGACGATGTTTTCCAGTTCTATAAACCAGTGTTTCCTAGTCCGGTCCACATTTTTGCTCCCTCCCCAGCTGTCTGTGGGTCCCTGAGGACAGGATAAGGAAACACCGCGAAAAAGGCTTCAAGCATCTACCTTCCAGCCGCTAATCCTGAGCTGGGTCACGGGGAAGCCTGAAGCCTATCAGCAGCAGCACAGGGTGCATCCTGGACAGGACATCAATCCATTGCAGGGTACATATTCACACTGTTTACAGATTAATTAGCCTAGCTGCAGGTTTCTGCTCTGTGGGAGAGACCTAGAGTATCCAGAGAGAATCCACATGACTCGGGGAGAACAGGCAAACTCCACGCTCACACGGTGGGAGTGGGATCGGAAGTCTGCTGCCCATAGCGCCACCTACAGAGACCGCAGGGAAATGTGATATTTAACCAGCCTCTCAAGGCTGCGATGCTGCTTGCCCCATGTAGCCTTGCCCCGTGGCAAAGCCTCACCACCGTCTGCCTGCTTACTTTCCAAAGAAGCACTTGGGCACGACAGATAACTTGCGCCGGCGGTCCTTGATCAGGTGACGGCTCCGGCTCATGATCATGTGGTAGAGTTTCTCTCCCTTCTCGGCGATCATCATATAGGCGTCCCGCTCCATGCCCAGCTTCAGGCCTGCAACAAGCAAAGGGGACAAAGGTCACAAGACACCTCACAGACTGCCATCTGTCTGGCGGAGTCTGCTGGAAAATACCATGCAGTACAGATATGGCCTGGCTGCTGATTAGATGAGTAATGTTTTCTACAGTAATTAGCACAGGAAATACCATCTAACATCTGTAATGCATCGATTAGTCTTTCGATTTGTTCTGTGGCAACAATCGGGTAGTTCGCCGATCTGGAAAGCGGATGTGCAAGAGGAGAACACCGCATGTGGGAGACCTTGAACCCAGCTCACGGCACAACGGCCGTATCGATCCTGATGACTTTCAGCCAGATTGGCACGGTGTGGCACAGGAACCTGGGCGATGCCAATCTAAACAAGGTCTGGGAGACCAGAGTCCCTCGGGAAACGATGCCAACTTCACAAATCTATGCTCTCAGCAGAAGGGCGGGAGTCAGGGAAGTGTCGGTCCGTCACAGTCTGGATGCAGCGCACGGCGCGAGGAGGAGACCGTGCCGGCTCACGTCTGGGGTTGCCGGCCAGAGGGAAAACAGATGTTTATCTCACCAGGAAGCACACAGACCAATGGCGGAGGTGCTAATGCAGTGTTACGGTAACTGGGAATTAATCTGCAAGGCCAGTGCACAGTGACTCAGTTCATGCCAAGTTCAGAGCGGGAGCTCAGGAAAATCAACGGAGGGCAAAACAGCAAACAGAAGACATATAAGTCTTATATTTTGGCCAGAACAGACAGGTCACGGAAAAAAAGGGAAACTTTCCACCGATACAAGGTTCACCCAAAGGTCAGATTCACAAGTAGCGTGGGAGCCGTGGACCCCCACATCCCAGTTGGAGAGCCCCACTGGGGCGTCTCAAGACCAGTCCCTGTGGCTGGTGCACAGCAAAGGGAGGCTGGATTAAGAGCCAACAGCTGCAGGAGAGGGGCAGGCTGGGGAACAAAGAGTGGCTTTCAGGGGAGGGGGCAATTCCTTGCAGTGGCCCCACCCACAGTGTGAGCACCAGCTGCCTCTCACTGCTCCATGGCTGCTCCATGAAGCATAGCACTGCAGACCCGAAGCTGCCCAGATTACACCATCCCACTGAGAGGGTGTGGCCACTCCTAGTCTGCTAATTGGTTAGTATCTTGACTAATGACAGGTGTCACACCCACTTAATGGCATCCAGCAGCCACGTTGGCTTGTCGGCATCTCCTTCCTGTTCTAGACGTCTGACGAGATATCAGATCACATTCTTGTGTAAAGCACTGATTTCATCACAGGCATTAAAAGACTTGGCAGTCCACCGAAGCCCCATAATGCAATTTTCAGCACACACTGCCTTAACAGATCAATAAGCGAGCGGGAAAGCAGAGCCGGCCTGGCCACTGAACAGCGCCCTCCTTGTAGGCATTGCGGCAAGATGGCAGGCCACCGTTAAACAGGCAGATGACGCTTTGTAAATCACACCCGTGGCACTGGGGAGAGGCTACAGCAAGCAGGGCCCAGCCAGGGGGCCGCTGCCACGCCTCCCAGAGGCCCCCAGGGGCAAGGCGTGACTGATGGAGCATCTGCTGGCCAGGATCTGCTGCCAGTGGTTGAAAGCTGATACACATCCTAAAAGGGGCACTGCAGGCGGGGTCAGATGCAGAGCGCAGTGGCTGCGGCGGGCTGCACATCAAAGGGCCGACCTGAGACCCGCCAGCATGGTCAGTGAAGACAGGGGTGAGGATCACGGCGGCTGCATGAGTGCACAGAGGGTGATGGTCTGGAGCAACAAACATCTTTGTTTCCACTGTGTACCACAATCTACCACAACAGTACCTTTGCGCATGTTTTGATAAGGAACAATACTACAGTAATAACGGAACCCATAAAATTAAAACAATCTAGAAGCTTTTGTTTTGTTTATCGAATGACAGAGAAGCCAACGTTTCGGGGGCATGTGTTATTGTCTTGTGGTTACCAGTCCACCAGACCAGTCCACGACACGCTTCTGAAACCTGACAGTAAAAACCTTCACATCAAAGGCACAAAGTCAGTGCAGAACAGGTGCTCAGAAAACGCTCACGAAACGCTCCTTTGAAGATTCTCAAGCAAAAGCAGTAAAAGTTTTAAGGACGGGGGGGGTGGGTGGGTTAAGGGGGTCAGATGAACGATGCTTCAGAAGGGCCGCGTTTCTCCGGATTAATTTCCAGGCCATAGAAGACATGGAACTGTGTCTGTAATTTAACAAGAATGTAATTAAATCCCCTGTATTCAAAGGGTTAATGGTACAAAATGGAGTTATTTACAAAGAGAACTGGCACAAACATTAATTTTCAATTTTTGCTTGTTGCTCCATCCATCACAAGCAGAAAAACACTCTCACTGTGCCTCACAACATGTGGAGATGGCTCAGTTTTGCTGTTCGAACGAAAATTTATAAAACAATGCCATTTGCCATTAACATAAGTACATCGGAGTGCCTCTTTTTCACATTTCCCATCATGCTCTGCTTTGTAACAGAAGTACACAAAGAAAAATATACAGGTGAGAGCGAAGCTTGGGGTCTGGAGCACAGGGTCAGCCATTTGTTTGTCGTCTTTGGAGCATTTCGGAGGTCAAGGGCTTTGGTCATACACCCAATGGACACGTGAAAATTCTACTGAGGCCAGGGCTGGAACCAGTAACCTTCTGATCACAGGCACACCGGCTAACCTGCTGAGCCACACTCCACCAGTGCAACGCTGCCCATTAGCTCATGCACTGTCAAGTCAACGAGCTCTGATGACACACACGGGCTGCCAGACAGGAAAGCACAGACTGACACACTGACATTTCGGTTGGTGAAGCTGCAGACCCTTGGAGGCCCCCGTTCCAGTCCCACGGAAGCCACAAAGCGAGGGAAAAGGGCAGCAAGCCCCATGCGGGGCGCTGTTCAGGGGCGGAGAGGTGGGTACAAGCAGGTCTCAAGGGTATGAATGACTCATGTCTGACCCATCGTCCCCTATGTTTGGAACAAGCCATTTGCCTATATACTAGTAAGCAGGGTAAGAAATTAGCTAAGTATCAGATTTGAATACCTCCACATCATTCTGCCATATTATAGCATATTTGTTGTTATTTTTCTGCAGCAATTCATGGTAAGAACTAAATAAGAAATAAGAAGTCAGATCAAATGACATCATCCCTGCCTATGTCCACTACTGTATGCCACCTGCTGCCCGCTAACCCAATACGACTCATTGGTAAATTAGCCACTTTCAAAGGTTTATTTGATCCAAAACTGCTTTTAAAAAAACACTTCAAACTTAAAAGGGCATGTTTATGTCTAGTCAAAACAAAACAAAGCACTCTAAAACTGAGCATCGGGATGATTTCTTGATCAGTGTACTGTCTCGGCCTGCAGCCGCTAATTTATTTCAGGACCAGGGTCAACAGTTCTTTTTTTAAAAAAAATAACATTATAGCTGTTTGTCTGCGAGCTGCCCAAACAACTGGCTGCTGTTTATTCTTCCTTCCAGACAATTTAAAGAAATAAGCCTACCTTTGCACCCAAAGCTATTTCTGTACAAATCTGCAGCACAACACGAACAAAAAAATACTACATTCCAGTTTTCACTGTTCTGTGACCGCCTAATTAAAAGACCATTCAAATTAGGGCGCCAGACAAAACAGCATTCAGTTTTCAGTCAACTAAGCATTTACGTGTTCTAGAAAACATAGGAAAGAATTGCATCTGGAAACCTAGAAGAAGTACATGCTTAAGTTAGAGTCAATTTACAGTCAATCTGCATTCTAAAAGTAATTTTGAATTAAATTAAGTTGATATTCACACTACACACACAAAGACGTAGTATATGTCAAAACTAACGTAAAATCACATTTGGCAAAGACAAGGAGGAGATTGGTGAGATTGAGAAGCTGAATGAAAATGGTTTATAATAACAGCCCTTGTTTGTACTTTCCCCTCCTGAACGGTCAGACCACGTTCTGTTGGGAATGGCTGCATGTGTAGTCTGACCAGAGTGTTTACCCGCTAGCAGGGTAAATGTTTCCTTTAATGAAGCAAAGAGAAAGATGGTAAAAATGGCCAACTCACTCTCCCTCTGCTCACGCTCCTTCAAGATGGCGTCCAGCCACTTCTGCTTGTCCTCCGCGTTCTTTGCCATGCAGACAAACCACTTGTTCTTGGCCGTGTTGTGGATCTTCCAGCCATTTGTCACTGTATAGTTATTGCTATGATAGTCAGCTGTGAAATACAGGGAGGAGAAATGTAAAAATATATATCAGAAATGAAACATTTTATCAACTATACTTATTGGCATACCAAAGTTCTCACGTCTCATACAGCATGCGCAGCCTCCTGAATACTCTAGCCTAAATCACTAGAATGTCCCACAGAATTTATCAGCTTCTTTTAATCACTCCAGATCGGATTGAGCTCCAACTTGCCTGTGAAAGTTTGTAGTCTATCAGTATTGGGCATAGAATTCATATCAGTATTGGGCACAGAATTCATATAAGTATTGGACGGAGAATAAGCACAGGTTTCATTAAGACCTAATTTCAGTCACACTATAGAAGTGAACACGGCTTTGCCTAGTGACAGCTGCATTTAAACTGAACAAGGCCACAGAGAGCAGCATAAATTCCTGAAAGCGGTTAATTCAGTAAAAAAAATTATCATCCTGGAGGAATCCAATTAGTACCAATGGTTCATATCAGTCAAGAGATTTTGCTGGTTGCCGCTATAAAATGCTATATGCACAATATGGCTTTTTCCCCAGTAAGTGACTAATGTCGTTCCCAATACGCTAATGCAGCTTCAGCTACACCTGTCTCATCTCATCCAATTCCAATACAAGAGGATACAAGGTGAAACCTCAAACAAACTATGAATTAGTAATAAGTCTAAACATTACACCAGTAGCTAGGCATATAGAATTTTCCCACAAGTCCCAGTGAGGTTTTCGGCTTTTTTCCCCCCGTCTACATTAAAACTGTGGCAGGTTTTATTGGACCAATCCAGACAGAGCTGCTGAATGGCATAGTCATCCATTTATCACATCGGTGCAACGGTACATTCCGTCCAAGCAGAGAGGATCGTCACCCAGATGCAAGGCTGGCCTGCGGCCAAAGGAGAAAATGACTAAAAGCATAACCTGCAAATGAGTGTACAGCAGGTTCCCAATGCAAAGGTCACATGATGCTGACCTGACTTGTGAATGATTCTGGTGATTAGCCGCAGTTATCCAGCTCACTCTAAATGGCACCAGTACACTCTCAGTAACCTCAGCAAAGGGCACGGGCATCCCCCCTGGGGGCACGGCCTGCCGCCAACCTGACCTACTTTTCAGCAGAATTGCCTGAATTACTAGATGAATTTTGCATTTACTTTTTACATTTTATTTAATTTAGCAGACACTTTTACCCAAAGCGACGTATGATTGAGAAAGCAAGGTCAGACAGTCCCTGGTGTAATAGAAGGTTAAGGGCCGAGCTCAAAAGCCAAGTGATGGAATCACTCGGTTGACCTCGGGATTTGAAGCCGCCACTAGGCCTGGACAGTGTTACAGTAATACGCTGTACTGTTTTATTTTGGATAAACTGCGGTATTTTCAAATCTTGGCAACAAAACTGGAGGCCATGATAATTTACCTGCCTGGCACGTTACCAAAATAGCGCTGGTTTTGAAAATACCATCGAAATCACATATACCATGGTAGAATGCCGGGAGGGTATGACGGTATGAAAGATTAGATACCACACAAGCCTACCAGCAACTTTCTGATCACAGGCCTTATTAACCAGACAAGAACCAAATGATTTTTTTGGCTCAGATGTTTTCACAACCAAGGTCTCAGTGTGAGAATTCCATACATCACAACAGTCTTACTCCAGTACTATGCTTCCCAAAACCTTTGCAGCGCTACGATGATTGTAACTTCAAAGAGAGAGAATTCGATATGATGACCCTCAGACAGCTTTGGTCTCTCATATAAGCCCCCTGATGTCTTAAGACATTGTTTCCCAACACAGTCCTTGGGGACCCCCAAGTCTGTCCATGTTTTTGCTCCCTCCAAGTTCCTGAGCAGAAACGTGGAATGTTTGTGAGACCCAGTGGACCGGACTGGTAAACACTGTCTTAAGGTTCTAGCAAGGCCCCAGGTCCTAACCTGCTACCTCCCACATTTTATTCTATACATATAAATATTGTATATATTAAAAGCTACAAAGTTATCCAGAAATGCCAGCTTCCAGCAAAACAGATCAAAATAATTAAATGAGCACCAGTTTTTGGAGTTGTTCATGCTCCCAAAAAAAAAAAAAAAAAACTTTATGCAACATAATTTTCCAATGACTAATTTCAATCTCAAACAAATAAAAAGAGCATTACAAACGAAGTCTCACAATTTATCGGCATTTTTTGCCCTGAATGTGCACTAGAGCAGTCATTTGGCATTTGTTTTGTGAGAGGGCACTCTCTGGGAGGGGGGTGGGGGGGTGGCAGCTATCTGAAGTTACGAACTGGCAGGTTGCTCTGTTTCTCACGAGAAACCCATCACAGATATTTCTTTCTTTTTCTGCGACTTCCGTAAAACATCAGCGAGCCCAAGAGGCAGTGCAGAGGCGGCCAATGTTGACGCTGGCAGCCCCTGAAGAGGCCTGGTAAAGGCGGCGAAGTGGCAGACGAAGAAGCTCCCTCCGGCACTGCCAGCGACGCCGCCGTCCTTGCGACTGCCGTCTTCAACACTCGATCGTATCTTCCTCTGCTCACGATAAGCAGCGCTAGTTGCATAGCTTAGACTTCCTGAAATGGCGCATGCTTCCCTAACCCCTATGCTCTTGCAGACTCAGACCCAGTTGCGACATCCATCTATTCGGGTCAAGGTCATATGTGGGGGGGGTGTGGGCGGCTGGAGCTTATCCCAGGCAGCAAAAAGGCACAAGGCTGTGGTACACATCCGGCATGAGATGCCAGTAGTTGCAACATCAACAGAAGGGCATTTATTATGCATCAGTCAAGGTACTTGGATATCTAAGAAGGGCACGTGAGCGACACAGACCTGTTCCGTCTTCCACGTTTTCGACCTCCATCACTTCCGTGTTTATTCTGCCTCTGAATACGTACAGAGGGCCGTTAATGGACTTGGTCCTTTTGGTGGACTTCTTCCCTGAAACCCTGAAGAACCAAAATAAAGTCATTACAAGCATGAAACTACACAAAGGAAAGTACGTCTCTTTTCAGAGACCCAGGACTCTGGCGGCTGGCACAAGAGGCCAGCTGCATACAGCCTGCTGCAATTAAGCAGCTTTCTCAATTATACGTCGCCTCGGGTAAAAGTGTCTGCTAAATTAAAATTCAGAAAGTTACGGCCTACGTGTGCATGCAAACGATCTCAGCAATTTTTGAGGACTGGTGAGGGAGCATGGCTGACTTACCTGGATTTCCGTTTGCAGTACACCAAGAGGTTGTCGAAAAGGAAGAAGACCCGCTCCTGAATGTTGCCTGCAGAAATCTTCAGCAGATTTCCATGGAGAAGCAACTCTGTACAGATGTCGGTCAGATTGGTTCCCTGCAAGACAGCACAGGTAGAAGGTGAGCATTTCTGATGTTACGTGCTAATATCAAAGATATGTCTGGACCCGATTCTGTGGATCCAAATAAAAAAATTATGTAATCAGTTAAGAACGGCAAATATGCAGTTATTTTCAGCTTCTGTGTGGACTTTCACTGTGAGGAAAGAGACATAAGACAGGGCAAAAAACGAAAAGTTACAACACTCATTTTGGGAACCATCCATGTGACCTTTCGGCAAAGACCATTGCGTAGTTTCTTGGCTCATGTGGAGGAGGTCAGAATCTGGGTGAATGACGGAAGTTTCACAGGACGTTCAGAAACAGCCACCCACCCCAACCCAAGTCCACATCAGTATATCAGTAACCACAGATATTTAAGCCACAAGAATTCAGACTTCTCATGCTGTGAAGGAGCCCAAACCTAACACCAAAGCAATGATATCCACTGTTTAGGGAGACTCTACAGCACAGCATCGGGGGCTGAGAGATTTCGAGGGAACCGTGCGAATGTGAGAAAGCGTCCCACCGCAGTTTGTCACGGAAAGAGCTCATGGTGAAATATCTCAATCTCACGTCAACTGGCTTTCTGAAGGGTCACAATGAACATTACATTAGCTCAGGGCAGGGCAATCTTATCCAGAAAGGGCCGCTGTGTATGCGGGTTTTCGCTGCAACTCCCAAATTAGATTACTAATTAGAGGACTGATTGGCTGAAGAGTCCTCGCACCTGGGTTTGAACAGCTGACCTAAAGGTTATCCCCCAAAAACCTGCATACACACCGGCCCTTTGCGGATAAGATTGGCCACCACTGCATTAGCTGGTATGCAGCCCTACATAGACCCTCAGTGTCAATTACTGACATTTCTGACAAAATGCAGAATTTAATTGCAACCTGTCAAGTAGTTTCAAAATTCAGGTAGATAAATAAAATCTAACAATACTAGCAATCCCATGCACAATTTGAATTCCACGTATTTTTTTAAAAATAAATATAATGTAGCCAGCAAATCTAAGCAACTCCATGTGGACAATTTAAGTCTCATTCTAAAACAGCTTCTTACATTCCCGTGGTTTCACAGGGCCTAAGACTTTGATGCTGCCTAGGAACACGATGCCATTGAAAACATTTTGTCGGTCAAGAACATCAGCGTCCCGACCCGGCAAGCTATCCATAATTGATCCCCACACAGAACCAGACCTGCAAGGCCAGCTAGCAGCACAACAGACTGAAACCTTCTCCTGGGTTTGCACCGAGCGCGGCATTTGCAGGAGTTAAGTGCGACTTCCTGCAAGCTGACCTTTACCTCATATACGATCCACATCGACTACATTCTGCAGTACCGACCTCGGCCATCGGGGGCCTTTCTCCGGCACCCGTTTCCAGAGTGGGCCTGATGCCTGTCCGTTTCACTTGCTATCGAGTGGGAAGTTTTTCCATAACAGAAAACAAGGGCTTCATTGTAGGAAAGAAAAAAAGAAAAGGCATTATTCTTGCTGCAGTGTTCTCTTTTTTTCCCCTCTGTCAGATTCTGTGCGATAACCTGCCTGCTCGTCTGAGGCGATTGCCCTCGCATGCCAATCATGTTAAAAGTGACTGCGCTCGCACTGCGGTGAAGCCACAAATGCGCTGCACCAGCCTCCGCACCCCGTGGTTCACTGAAAAGCATCAAAACCGCTCGGTGCATGCATGGAGCAGCTGGAAGAGAAGGGGCCAGTCGGACGGCCCCTAGAGGGCTGACACTTCCCCTGCTGCTGTTTTCGGTTCCTCCTTTCAATGCAGCAAAAGACGATGCTGATTAGAAGACCTAGGTGACTATTGTTTTTTTTTTGGATAGTCTTGGCACCAACATTCTATCAATTACCTATCAAATCATTCACAACAATAATCAAAACTGGGAGGTTTCTCAACAAATATCTACAGTTGAATGAACGTGCTGGCAAACAGGACCCATTAAGAGAAAATAACGTTATGGAAGCAGGATGAGAAAGACTAAAAAGAAGTAGTGTTTAATTTATTCACAGCAGCTTAGGACAGCATTGTGATTGACACTCTTTCTTTTCATCAGCTCGCGGGAGCATTTCCTCAGTGTCGCTGGGTGCGAGCAGCACTGGCTAAAGCCTCTCAGACGACATAATGGCACCTTGGGGGTTTGCGTTTCTTGATATGTGGCCACTGTGCACCTGCATTTATGCTCCATGTGACTCCCAAGATGTTTCTCTTTGGGCCCTGTGTGCGACGGAGCCCCAGACGGCCAGAGAGGACCTCTTACCTCCCAGCCCTCGATGTGCGACTGCAGCTGCTCCAAGGCTTCCAGCTTCTCCATTTGTCTCTTCGTCTCGTTGATGTTGGAGCAGACGGTCTTCATGGCCTGCAGGGCCTGCTCCACCGCCGGGTAATCAGCGTGCTTCTTAGGGGTCCTCTTCAGCAGCTCCTGTAGGGAGAGCTCCAATCAGCTGCAAACCTACTGGCCTTATGAAGATGCAGTGGCAAAAACTACCTCTAGGTGAACTCTCAATATATGGGCAAAAAAAAACAAATAAATAAAAGTTATGGTCTTTGGCCACTGAATATGAGCTAAAAATAATTTTACGCAATTGTTTTGCAAATGTGGATGGCAGGTGAGATCTGTGCCACATCCAAGCCAGTCATTTTAATCAAACACTGACAACAACAGGCTGGATCACTGAGGTCTCTCTCAGACGGCCATGGGGATCAAATCACTCTCTCACGCTCAGGTCTGTAAAGGTGTGAAAAGCAAACAAAAAAGACACACACACACACCCCCCCCCCCCCCCGCCCCCCAGCTGGAAGCTCATGGCTGCCTTCACCACGGCATTAATGACATAGGATCTACTTTGATGGGATAATCAGAAACGCCAACAAAGAGGAGAAAGAGGAACTAAATCTGCAACCTTAATTAACCGTAATTGCTTGCTCTTCAGATTCTTAATTAGGCTGTCTTAACGGGCACAGAACACTCCAGATCACCCGCAGGGCCCTTCTTTGTGGTGTCCGTGAGAAATGGGTGAGAGAGACCTCCTTACCTTCAGCAAAAGCGGGTATTTACAAATCCTCTGGATGGGTGTCAGCAGGTAGCCCTCCAGGGGGATGTCTGTGGTCTTCTTCCCTCCCAGCAGCATGCAATGCTGACAGAACGTGAGCACAGAGAAGCTCACCGTGAGAAAGTCCAAGAGCCACAGGAACATCTAAGCAGCGCATATGTTTGTAGGACTCAAACATTTCAGTAGCTCCCGAGACACATCTAATCAATTTATAGGAACTTCACAATCATAAATTCACAATCAACTCAGCCATATTTTATTTATATATATATATATATATATATATATATATATATATATATATATCCACTACAATTTTATACTCTGAAATAATTTTTAAAACTCCTAAAACACTCAAAGTCTGTGTACTAATTTCATTTTAGCCATTGAATCTACAGTGGAATGAACAGAGAAAAAGAAAGAGAGGCCCGTTTTTGGTCATTTCAAAACGTTAATGGCAGAAACAGTGATACAAAAAAATGAGAACTAAAGCTTTAATGACTGACTGTCCTTAAATGTTCCACTGCTTCCACTCGATGATTCTTGTGGTCCAGAGCAGATCAAAGGCTTACTAAGGGCTAAGCAATAAATATACATGAATTTTTAATATGAACTGAGCTCAGTCAGCAGTAGGATAGGGCCATTTCCATACAATTACTGATAGTCCAGGCTGAGTGCTATCAGCAGCCAATCACATGACAGTGACCTCAGCTGTGATGGGCACGTCTCAAAATAGGGCAGATTCTGCATTTCAAAATGCAATTTAGTTTGAAATCCTGCAATGCTACACGGCCGAGGACATTAGACACAGTCGATGCAAATGCCGCATTCTAATTTAAATTTCATTTGCACAAGTCCAAAACAAAGAATCTCATTACCTAACTGGGCCCTTGTTTATTAAGATGGCAAAGCAATTACTTTCAGATCCACCTTTAATTTGGCTTCATCTCCTGTGTTAACAGGTTTTCGTTTTCTAATAACCTGCCGGAGTAGAAACATTTATCTTACAGGAAACACAAATTCATTCAAGGCCAACCAACGTTCATGTCAGCAGTGACAAATTTCTCTGCAGCTGACAGTAAGTTCAGGCAGCATCTAACTTTTCATATCATCCAGACATAATACTGCACTATACGGTATCTGGACGATATTTTTAAATCAATGATATTTCTGTATTTTGAAGTCTTTGCATTAAAATTCAAATTTAATGATACCACGGTCTACCAAAAATACCATGTCACACCCTACTGTAATACCCAAGCCTAGGTTAGAGGAACACAACTCCTGTAACCCATGATGCAGAGTGAGCAGACCTCCCTGACTCTAGAGCCTGCATTAGGAGGGGGGAGGCGGGGGACAGGAGCTCACCAGCAGGAAGGTCCGGACCTGCGTGTTCTTGTTCAGCTCCATCAGCAGTCTCAGGGCTTTTTCATGGTTACTGCAGTACTCGCCGTACACGGAGAAGTGGCCTTTCTGAAATGAGGAGCAGGTCAGCACATTACACGTCGTCCCTGGACACGAGGCGCTATAAGCGAAACATTAAGTCATCGCCTCCCACAGTTACTTAGATGGAAAACCACTGGTAAGAATCATTCGTCTGGGCTGGGCAGATGCTTCAGGAGAGCATTAGTGGATAGTTCATTAATTCTAATGTATTTATTGGCCATAACCCACACTGAGCTCTATTTCACGGTGTGTTCGCTTTAATAAGAGGGGTTATTTTGATAACTGCCAACCTGGTCCAACACAAATAATGAACAGACTTCCACCTGCACAGCTACATGCTGCACAGAGCTGAACTTTCTGCAGGAAATCCATCCCGTGTCTGAAGCAGGTCAGTGCCGGTCGGATACGGAAACTCAAGTCGTCGGATAGGGTTTACAGACACCCCTGAAAGATGTATTAGACTCTCGGTAGTGAGGCCCAGCACTCAGACCAAAGAAACTCTGTGACCGCCTTGGGTCTGCCCCAGACGGAGTAGCAAGTGAAATGAGGAGCCGTGCGCTGGCAGCAATTCAGACGCCCGGTGTGGCTTTAAGATCACAGCACGAAGCTAAAAGCTGCACCTTAAGAAAAGCAGCCCTGTCTTATACACTAAAATTCCAGACCAAGAACGTGAGGGACATAAAACTCAAATATTTTCACAATGGAAAAGAAGTCATAAAATATCATCTGTCATTTTGGCAGGCAGATACTCATTTCTTCACTGATAGAGTGTTTTTTCCCCCCATACAAGTCCTGCAACTGTGTTTTACAACATTTGTTAAAACTGGATTTCTCTAATCCACAATTTGGACACAGAAAACCCTGTTAGTTTAAGATCCCCCAAAAGAGACAGGATTATTTGCATTCTCCGCTCTTTTGTGTTCCGGTGTCACGTGAACAGACAGAACTAGCCCAAAACTTGCAGTTCTACAGAACACAACAGTGGTGTATCGCTTAGGGCCAAATTAAACCGCCATAGCACCCTGGCAGCAGTAATGATGATGCTTTGCTGGGATAAACATCCACCGTAAGCTATGGAAATAATAATAAAAAAAAAATGTTTATAACTGTAAACACAAGTGCTGCAGTAAATGAACTAAAAAGTCTAATAAAAATTAAACTAGAAATCCCCCTTTGTACTGGAAAGTCCTCGATAATTGCCAGAAATATACCAATTACCTACCGCAGAAGCCAAACTGAGAAAACAACAGCTACGGTTTTCCTAAATAAGAGCCTTTCAAATTCAGCTCACATTATAGGTAAAAAAGAAATCAATGGCAGACAATGAGCCTCGACAAAGGCGATAAGTTAATGCAAAGGAACCCTTGGAAGAACCTCAAGGTGAATTTCTCGTCCGACGGCAAGTTGAAGGCCGTTGGCTCACCGCGCCCCATCTGTCAGTGGGGCACCACTATCCAACGAGCCCCTGGCCGTCGCCACTAGGCCCAGAATGGCAAGCAATTATGGTTCCATTAAAAAAAAAAAATGTCAAATAACCCTACACTTTTTTTCCTATTACCAAGATCATTAGAGTGAATGTGTATGAGGACCTTAGAGACAGGCAGCCTGAAGACCACAAAACAAAACAAAAAAATTAAGGGATCGATGCACTCCAAACAATATACACAGACTGTGATTCAAACAGCCAATGAAATAATCCAACTCCCCCCCCCCCCCCCCTAATTGGCTGTTGATCTCGCCCACTTCAGTTGCCGAGCACCTGTCACTGTCACCTTGACCCCCCTTCTGGAGGTGATGGCGGGCTGGGAGGGGGGGCATCATCTTTACTGCAATGGATACAGCACCAGGACTTAACTTGTGTTTCTACAGAGTCTTCATTTGTGTGACCAGGGCAGCCAACACATCTGCGGAACGTTCTGGGTTCCAAGTTCTGAGTTATACACTTGTACCCAGAATAGCTCAAAGAGCTAGCTAGAGCCCTCAGCTATTTTTTTTTTCCTTCATTGGAGACAGGGAGAGGATACACCGCCATGGAGGGCAGTCAAAGAGACAAATTACGACACAAAAAGTTTACTTATGGAGCCCACAGTGAAAATGCAGGTGGGGGAATGAATAAACTCAGCTACGGAGACAAAAAAGTAAAACAAATAATGTCAGATTATGCCTAAATCCTCCTATGAGGACCTGGTCGAGGTTGTGGCCTGCGGTTGCAGGCATTTTACCCAAGTGGAACCATTGACTAGGAACAAGCAGCATCTGCAAGAAGCATAATACTAAAATTACTCAATCTGCCATAATAAAAGAAAGATGGTGGAGCCCAAGCCTGACTTAATAGAGAACCAAATTTGTTTGCACATCATTTGAAAGAAAATGTAGACAAGTATCGGTATCAAATGAAGGATTATGACTTACACATGACACGTTCTGCGAGGGACACATAAATGTAATTGCCACCAGATTTCTTTAAGCAATTAAAGATAATTTATCACAAAAAACAGTTTTAGGGACAGATAAGTAAACGAGTTGGGAAAGGTCCCCTGGTGGTCTGTAGAGAACTGGGTCAAAGGGGAACCAGGAATCAGACATGGACAGTAAAATCCCAGGCTGTCCAAGGGTCACGGCTGGCAGGGAAGGGGGGGGGCATTTACTGGAGTACCAAGTTACATCCTGACCACTCCACTCCCCCGACACCCAACTAAGATCAATAGGACCTGGCTCTCAGTGACTGAGATGGGATGCGGGGGTCAGCAGCAAGCTCAAGTCCCAGCTGAAAGTCTCATGACACACCGCACAACTCAAGCGGTCCCACAGACCAGTCCTGCGGTCCAATGCTGGCCCTAAAGCACTGCAAAGCTTAAGAGTCAAAATGTCTAGAAATGCCGTCCTGCCTAGATCTGATGACCTGCCTGTCACCTTCCTGCGACCTTCCGCACAGTGCGACTCCTACAGAGAACGTTATGGTGAAGCAGATGAAGGATGCTCCCCAGGAGTGGGAGCGCTCCCAATTCCTTTTGAACACCACGCCTCCTCCAGTGGGAGGCCAACCGTAAGAGAGCGACATGTTCGGTATTAGCGCAGGGGCTGCCCGCCACGTCATGTCAGACTCCTGCTTTCAGCCCACGATGAGAGTAGAGCGGCTTCCTGGTACAGAGGTTAGTCTGGTGCCTCAGGCCCTCGAGCCCCTCCATGCTACATCAAAGGCCTCGTTTTCAGCCTCTGCTCGTCAATGCAGCAGAGTGTCTTTCACAAGGTCCGAGTGGAAGCGAATGTGGGCAGGACCCAATAACACTGGTCATTTGCCAACAACGTTGAACAATCAGCCCCGGAGGATCCAGGGGCATTTTCATAAATGGACTAACCACCACATGATTGGGACCCGGGATTCCTGTGTGACGACAAAGCTTGGAGGATTGCTCAACACAGAAAATACAAACAGTAGTGCACACAGCCCTAAACCCCCACCCCAGCCAACCCCCCCCCCCCCATCAAGAAACACAGACTTTAATTTCCTTGTGGGATCTTCAAGTTAAGTTTTACATCTAGAGTTTTACCCTTGGCGGCCCAGCACTCTACCCATTGTCCTACAGGGGACCTGCCCAACCACTCTGCCCTGATACAGATGGGCCATTGTGATCATCTAGGGGTGATGAGTTCAAAGGGAGGGGTGGTGGAGGGGGGGTGGGTTTGTGGGTAGATGGAGGCACATCCGCCGACAAGCCTGCCAAGCTCACCCGGGCTGGGAGGGGTGAGAGCTGGGCGCTGGCAGGAAGCGGGCGTCCATTGAGCTGCCGTGTGAGGCCATTGTACTCACAAACTGCAGGAAGACGTGACCCAGGGTGTGCTGCGGATGGGGCTCCGGCTGCAGGCTGGACTCCAAGGCTGCCAGCACCTTCTTGTGGACCTCCAGGATGGCCTCGATGTTGGAGAAGAGGATCTTCATGGACGGAGGAACAGAGAAACCCCCATTAGCCAGACGGCCCCATTCCCACTGGACAGGCCGATCTGTCACAGTGCCACTGCTGTGGGAGCCTGAGCTCCTCGGCTTCCTGGAGAGTTGAGAGCGCCACAGTACCATGGAACAAAGAGGGACTGTGGTCCCTTCAGCCCCGTTCCTGGCCAGTAAACACCCGGACATCTCATTAATATGGATGCTACCAGCAGGAAAACAAATACATACACATGTACACAACAACCAGCGAGGCTGCACAAAAACATGGAGGGTTAGCCTGTGCGGAGGCCGCAAACCAACCATGAAAAATGAAGAAGCTTTTTAAATAAAAAAAAAATTTAAATAAAAAAAAACAAAAAAAAAAAACAGCTCTTGCTCTATTGAATCCCAAGAAGATTGGTTTCCCCAAACGAGCTTGATGGGCCGAATGGCCTCCTCTCGTTTGTAAATTTCTTATGTTCTTAAGATAGCAGGAAAGCCATCAAGGTGTGTAAGGGTAACTGGGAGATGAGAATGGTGGACTTCAGCTACACTACCGGAGTTACCAGCTCGCCCAGTGCCTCAGCGTCATAGTATGGTTAGAGATTCTGTGACTCTGTGTGGGGACAAAACTACACACATCTGGAGGGAATGCTACGCGAAGCCAAGTCCAAAGCAAACAGAGAAGTTGCATAACTTGTGTCGAGAAACTGACATTGTTGGGAAAGTACAGGGGGGAAAGAATAAGCTAACGTGCTCCAATCAGCACCTCTCGGTAGTGGAAAGTGGTGCAAACGTGGGAGATCTCGTATTTCAGTTTGGCGACACCGCTTGCGTTTCATGGGGTGGGGGGCAGGGTTGGTGACCAGGGATCAACATCGTGGTTGTAAGCTTGGGGACAGTCTTCCATTCCATCTGCTCTTAGGTTGGGTTACACTCTATTAAACTGGAGGGACAATGATCTTGGGAATTAACGATTAGCCGTTATGTTCCTTTTGTGCTTGGGAGTCCAGCAGCAGAAGCTTGAGGGAGTACACCGCCCAAAACAAGTGTAGGGTTAGAAAGGCCCCAACTGAGTGCTCAGGTGTTTTGTTAACACCTGATGCCATTATTTCTTCTTCCTTTGTGTTCGGTACATCGAGCTACTGGCCGTTTTTATTTTAATTTTTTTGAGCGTGTCGTGGAGATGCATAGCTAATCCCCAAAGGGAAAACACGAAGGGAGACGCTCACCCTGACGTTCTCCGGAGAGAGGCATTGCTGCTCGTCTTGGGTCTGCCGGATCCTCTGCAGAAAGGCCTGAAAAAGAGACGCACGGCTCGGTTACAGCGCTCACATTTCACGCTCAAAAGAAAAGGAAGAGTCTCCTTAAAAAGAGTGATAAAAAAGGAGCCCCATCTATTAAGTTTTTCACACGCAGCCACAATCGCAACCGGTTTCACCGGCACAAGTAGCCTTGTGACTGAAAGCGATTAACCAAGATCATTAACACTCGCTGCAGATCATTTTCACGGATGGCCTTCAAGTTGGCAAACCGCGTGCTATAAATCCAGCTTAGCTTCATAGAAGGCAGTATGTACTGTAATAGTACTGTATCGAGAATAGAATTGTTATTGTAACGATCATGTTCAGGAATAGTCTTTTTTTGTGTGTATATCAAGAGCAAATGACCAAAACTCAATCAGCCTATATTTTTGTTGTTGCTGTTTTTGAGATGACACATCCCTGGATGAGTTTTAGAAATTCCCTCTTCAGATGGGACGAAAAACAAGGACATAAAAACATACATACATGTTTTATATTATATGTTAATTATATAATATATAGGCTATATTATATTTAAGTAATAACATATGAGGAGTGTGGCTGTACTCCAATATATGATGGCCGTGATTCGCTCGTAGACATGAGCCCGCAGACTGAGTTGTATAAATGTTATACTACTACTACTACTACTAATAATATTATTATTATTATTATTATTATTATTAATAATAATAATAATAATAATAATAACAACAACCAATACTTTATTTATCCCCTTGGGGAAATTGTCTTTACACCTCCATCAACTTGCTCTTTTTTATAGAGTAAGCTGTGCGTGAAGGGCAGCCACCCGTAGTGTCGCCCAGGGAGCTGGGGGTTAAGGGCCTTGCTCAAGGACCTGCAGATGTGCTGAGGCTGGGTTTGAACCAACAACCTTCTGATTACAAGCACACAGGCTTAGCCCACAGAGCCACACGCTGCCCCCCATCGCCACACGCTGCTGACACTCACATAGGGCCGCAGGATTCTGAAGAAAATTTGAATGACGATTTTTTTTGCTTAGAGCTGAGATCACGACTTTTTGTAATGATTTCCCCCCCTCAAATTTCAATGTCTATTGCACTAATTAACTAGCCTGCCTCTGAAACGCAATACAACCACCGTCTCAGAACTCAGACAATAACGAGAACAATAAATAATAATAACAACAACAATAATAATAATGGACGCGTGGACAAATGAAGTGACCCAAGCTTTAACTGTGATCTGGTCGGAAGAACCAGAGATCAGGATATCATAAAAAGAAATAAAGTATTTTGTATAATAATCTAGGACAGCAAAGTATTGGGAAATGTCTAAGTATTGCAAAGTGATTTTGTTGTAAAAATTATTGGGGTATTTATCAACATAAATTTCTCACAAACTCGTCTAGGAGTGACCAGCCAGCCGCTTCCTAGTGTTTATTGTTGATTTTCCAATTGGTGCTTTTGAACTCTGCAGCAGATGTTTTGCATTACTGTCAGTGGTGGTGGTGAGGTGTGTGTGTGTGTGTGTGTGTGTGTGTGTGTGTGTGTGTGTCAGGTGTCTGCATCTGGATGTTGTCAGTGAAGTGAAGAAAGAAATGAGCAGGGGTGTGAAGGGGAGGGGGGACCGCGGTGAGGTTAAGGGTAAAGTGCACATTGGCTGATATCTCCATGCAATACAACTGAACTGAATAAAAGTTACGGGGGGCGGGGGAGATGGGGCAAAAACCTTCAAAAATGACAAAACTGGAAGCTGTGACACTTTATTGGGTTGGTTGCCCCTCAAAGTGTACTTCAGCTCTAATGGCATGTTGTAGCTACATGGTGTTCAAATTCATCAGTAGGCAACCACTTGCTTTTCTGCTCATTCATACAAAAACGTTCATCTTACTGTGATTTTACTTATTTAGCAGACACTTTTACCCAGTTTTACCCAGGGGTTAAGGACCTTAACTCAAGGCCCAGTGACGACATTACTCTGCCGACCACTGGAACTGAACTGATGACCTTCTGATCACGGACACAGTATTCTGACCTGCTGAGCCACATACCACCCCCATGCACTGAACGGGCACTGGAAGTAGGAAGTGAGAAATAATATCAGCCAAAACCTCATCCTAACTGTGTGTGAAAAGCAGGCAAAGAACTGCAGAGGCCGCAGAGAGGGAGGCAAAATCTCCTCTGAATGGCCTGCAGCTTGGATTAGCTGAAATAAAGCCGAGGGGAGCCCCTTGGACAGCCCTGCATGAAACACAGCCACTCAGCTACTCCCCATTACTCACAAAAAAACAGCTTAGGTTTCTGCTTTCAGGATTTAAGTGGAAAAAAACATTTTGCATCAAGAGAAAGATAATCTACCAAGCGGGATGCATGGCTCATTTCTCGCTGTTAAGTTGAAGTTAAATAGATGGCCAAAATCCCATGGAAAAAAAATTCTAAAACTAAGGAGTGAAAGTTTGCGGCCACATTGAAGAAGTACCAAAAAAAATTATTATGGCCACAAGTGACAGGTTCTGAATACAAAAACTTCTCAAAATAGTATGAATTTGACAAACCTAATTAAGCTGAACCCATTAAAGCTCTCTCTTGTGTTTTGTCCCTCCATATATAAGCTCCATTTATGTGACATTCTCCCAAAATAATATTGTATTATCCACATCATTCCTATAAATCCAAAACTGCTTACTGGGCAGACGGGCTGGGTTCAGATTCAATGCAGCAGTAGTGCCAGAGAGGATAGCATGACTCCCCACCAGTGACCACAATGACAGGACAGCCACTGGCTAGTCAAAGCCCCCCCCCACCACCACACTGCCTCCCATCCTCAAAGCCTCTATTCCCTGCCTTTCATTAAAAACCAACAAGCTAAATCATGGAGCCGTTAGGAATGCAGACCACCTCTCCCCCTCAGTCCTTGACTGGCGTCTCCTGCTGCCACTTGAGGAGCTCCTTCCTCCCTGATCTCCTTCGGGTTTGTAAGTTCCCTCCATGACACACCAGAACTAGCAAATCAGTGGGCGGCAGTAATGGCTGCCCTCTCTGACAGACGGCTTGATTGTCACCCTGCTTGGAGGTCCCCAAGAAGGTGGACCCCTTACGCCCTGTTTGCGGCTTAACGTGTGAGCACCAGGCCGACATCGAGAGGGTCGAGACTATGGTTTATTAGTAAAGCCTGTATGAACTGAGTGCGTCAAGGCATAGTGGAAAACAGAACCGAATCTTAGCAGGGATCCGCAGTCTTCCCGAAAACCACAAAACAACACTGTATGCAAGGTGCATAAAAATATTAACCAAATCAAAAATAAATGACTACCAGGAAAAGAATGAATTTTAAAGCAAAACAAACGCACATGGGTAAGTTCTAGCGGCCTTACCACAGAAACCAGTTTGAGAAATTGTTCTCATTCAGCACTAATTTAAAAGTACAAACTGCAGAGCGAGCTAAAATGAAAAGAAAAAAAAAAGCCACAGACATTGTTCCACATTCAGATATTTGTGACACTGTAACTCTTACACGTCAAGTGAGATATGGCGACTCCACTTGAAAACGATTTGGGGTTTTTTCTACGTTTCAAAACAGGGTGGCCATGGTAACAGTTGCTACACAACAGGATTGGGAAAGAGTGACTGGGGACAGTGCTGGTCCGGTCACTAATGATGACGATGCTGATGCAGTAGGGTTTCTTAAGTCCTATGGTGTTCTCACTGGTTTTCCACAAACCACAGATTATGACTTAAACATGAAAAAATTACATTTGTTTTAAGTTGATTTTAATAAAACATAAAACAATCTGACGAAAGGTCAACACCATGGTGAATTCTGATGGACATTTTCATCAAAAACACATAGATTACATTGTTTCCCCCCCCCCCCACTTCAATGAAAACGTGTCACAGAAATGTTTGTTTGTACAGGGACAGATTGTGCAAATATATTAAATTTCACCTAAAAACCATTTGGAAAGCATCTCCATAATTTACATATAATAAAACAAATAAATATTAATTAGCAGTAAGTAATATTCACATACTGTGTTTGTTTGCTCAAAACATATTTTGCAGTCTCACATGCAGGACCATTATCGCCAGTCAGCGACTGGTCCAACTGGCAATGTTGAAGCCACTCCAAGCTAATTTGCGGCGAGCCAGCCTGAAGGTGCCGGATACTCCCCCACAGCGATATGATTCTGTCCCCATGCTAACCCGACAACAACCCCTAGCTGCATATCTCCGTTCAGTACTCATTTCACACGGCTCACTAAGAAGGCCCAAAGTGCGGATGAGCAACAAACAGGTGTAAGCGATAAACGGAGCCATATGAATACTGCCACTGTGACTTTACAATAATTATCTCTAATCCCTCTGATTTGTTCAACAATCAGTTCTTTTTTTTTTACATTTTTGCACGTGTCCAGGGTGAATCAACAATTTTAGGTCACTTGAGGAAATGAACTTCCCCTCTTACTTAAAGACGAAGTGATCCACCGCGAGAAGCTCTGCATGTCCGGTTCCCAGTAGCTGCAGTGTCTGACATACAACTATACCACTGTGCGCCTTCCGGCAAGGTCAGTCCGGTTTTTAAACCAAAGCGGGCTTCATTCTGGGAACCAGCATGCTCTGAAGGTACTGTATGTGTTAACTTCATGGGAAGGTTAAAAATATAGACTGATTATAATATTTTCTGAGAAAAGTAGAATTTAACTGTGGCTATAGACACACTCACACCAGTTCGAGGAAGAAGGGAGCTGAGATGTTAATGATAAAATGCCCTGTGTGTGAAAACAGTACAGACTTCTAGTATCGGGGGCAGCAATTCAGAAGGCAGTACCACAATACAAACATCCTAAATGCAAAGGAGTTAAAGAGGTTATCGGCTCGCCTTGCCATCAGTTTTAAGTAGACCACGGCGCGCAAGGTTACATGTTGGCACAAGCAGAAGTCAGGGGTTGCACCCTACTGCCTCATTGGACGGCACGTCCGCTAAACCAGATGGCCCAAACGCCTCTTTTG